TGCCCTTAACGAGCAGACTTTCTGGTTGTTTACACTTCGTGGGAAGTTTATACTTGCTCAGTTCCACTTGGTCACAGACAGTTGTTGGGTTGTCGTAATTTCCGAAGTGTACAACACAGACGAATTGTAATTGAAATACGTTGACATGCAATAACCAGTTGTTAGAATTGGTCTTCAGCATCTCATGCTTGTCATAATAGGCGACTAACGGGATCGGGTGGTCGGGCTCGCTGACTTGGTTGGCACATGTTCCAATTGGGTAGATCGATGCTCATGCTGTTGATCATAGGATTGTTTGATCCAGACTCGATTATCTACAGATCGCCGTTCTAAAGCTGGAATATTACTGAGCGGCGTTAAAATAACAAACACCAAAACAATGATCAAGTCAGCGAGCCTGATCTCTCGAGCCCGTCAATCGCATCAGTCTGACGACAAGATTGGTTCCTGGAGACTAAATTCTCAAAGTAGGACGTGTGCAGTGGTGTCAGCTTTTGAGTTTCCAGTGAGACGGAACTGTCAAGTGAGACGGCACTGTCAAGTATGGAATCCGAGAAGGGACACTGTCGCGTTGTCGCCCTCTCAAAAACAAGCATAGGGCGACAATGCGACAATGCGACAATGCGACATATTTTGACCTTGAAAATTGACGCTATGTCGCATTGTCGCCCTTTGAAGGAATAGAAAAATATTATTCAAAACGCGACATGCGACATCGCGACAATGCGACAAATGGGCGAAATGTCGCGTTGTCGCATTGTCGCGCTTTGGTTAATTTTGCCTGTATTTGAGAGGGCGACAACGCGACAATGTCCCTTCAAGGATTACATAGTCAAGCGTGACGGTCCCGTACAGTTATTCTTGACGGTTGCTGTCTTTGTACATCAAGTTTGTTTGTTTTCAAGGTTAAACTCTAGAGAAACAACTTAGTATATGCACGCCATTGATCTGAGAGTCTGCGATGCTTCTCCAGTTTTTGAGTCGTTCCGCCCTAACTGCTCTCGTCGTCTGTGTTCGTCGCGGGAATACGCAGTCCCATTGTCATCAACGTCTGTCCTGACACAGATCGATATATCCACTTGAACAATGAGAAATAATTGATAAACTCGTGTACCGTTTTCTGTCAATTGTTGCTAGTCTACCATGCATGCCAACACACGTCGTCGTCGCCATCAACGGTGGCTACGTGGTAACAAAAGAATGGGGTCGAAGTTGTCGTGGTTTTCGAAATTCTTGATAAACCTGTTACTGTTAGGAAATGTTATATACTTAGACACGCCGGTTATTGATCAGATTGGAGAACATAAGTCATTCTTAAAACGTAAGTCATACTTAAAATGTCATACCGTTCAAACAATTCAATATACATCATCAAACGAACAACGAATACTAAATACTGTGATATACTTTTCATTCCCAGTCTGTATGTTCCACTTCTCATACCGTATTGTACCTTTTCCCATACCGTATTGAACCTCTGCCTGTACCGTATTATACCTCAACCTACACCGTATGATACCTCTACCTATACCGTATCATACCTCTACTCATGCCGTATTAAACCTCTACCTATACCGTATTATATCTCAACCTATCCCGTATTATACCTCTACCGTATTATACCTCAACCTATACCGTATGATACCTATACCTATACCGTATTATACCTATACCTATACCGTATTATATCTATACCTATACCGTGTTATACCACAACCTATACCGTATTATACCTCTAACGTATTATACCTCAACCTATACCATATTATACCTCTACCTAAACCGTATTATACCTCTACCTACACCGTACTATACCTCTTCCATACCGCATATACCCCTTTCCCATGACGTATTAAACTCTTCCCATACCGTATCAACCTTTAAATTCAAATAGCACATCATACCCTTTCCCATACCACATTATACTTATTTCCATGCCGTATAATACCTTTTCGGTACACACTGTTAGCAAACCGTGTTATAAATATACCGTTTACACTGCTTTCCAAACCGTATTGAAACTCTTCCTATTCCGTACATAAGGCTTTCCAAACCGTATTAAAACTCTTCCTATTCCGTACATAAGGCTTTCCAAACCGTAGTGAAACTCTTCCTATTCCGTACATAACGCTTTCCAAACCGTATTAAAACTCTTCCTATTCCGTACATAAGGCTTTCCAAACCGTATTGAAACTCTTCCTATTCCGTACATAAGGCTTTCCAAACCGTATCAAAACTCTTCCTATTCCGTACATAAGGCTTTCCAAACCGTACATAAACTCTTTCCTATTCCGTACATAAGGCTTTCCAAACCGTATTGAAACTCTTCCTATTCCGTACATAAGGCTTTCCAAACCGTATTGAAACTCTTCCCATTCAGTGCATAAGGCTTTCCAAACCGAATTGAAACTCTTCCCATTCCGTACATAAGGCTTTCCAAACCGTATTGAAACTCTTCCAATTCCGCACATAAGGCTTTCCAAACCGTATAAGGCTTTCCAAACCGTATAAACCTATTCCTATTCCGTACGTATATACGTACACGTATACATCTCTTCCCACATAGCATTCGGTGTACCCCGTACCTACCAACTAAACACCAATGTATCTTTTATCCTCACAAAAGACGTTTGACGCCGATAAAATCCCATGTACAGGGTGATATAATACGATACAAAACGTGCATGCAGCAAATATCGTTACTTGAACACCAACCAATCAGTATAAAGTACTCCAGATCCAAATACAACTTACATAAACTAGCCAACAACGTCAGTATACCTCAGTCAATTTATTCACCCAAACGTACATAAACTATTCAATAAGAAAGGTCAGTATACCACGGTCCATATATTCAACAAAACTCACATAAACCATTCAACAAGGCCAGTATACCCCGGTCTATATATTCAACAAAACTTACATAAACAATTCAACAAGGCCAGTGTATCCCGGTCCATATATAAACAAAACTTACATAAACCATTCAAACAAGGCCAGTGTACCCCGGTCTATATATTCAATATATTCAACAAATAAAACTTACATAAACAACAAAACTTACATAAACTATTCAACAAGGCCAGTATACCCCGGTCTATATATTCAACAAAACTTACATAAACCATTCAACAAGGCCAGTATACCAAGGCCAGTGTACCCCGGTCTATATATTCAACAAAACTATAAGCCATTCAACAAAATTTACATAAACCATTCATACAAGGCTTACATAAACTATTCAACAAGTGTATCCCATTCAACAAGGCCAGGTCTATATATTTTCAACAAAACTTACATAAACCATTCAACAAGGCCAGTATACCCCGGTCTATATATTCAAAAAAAAGGCTTACATATATTCAATAAAATTTAAAACCATAAGCCATCAACAAGGCCAGTGTACCCCAAAACTCCATATATTCAACAAAACTTACATAAACCATTCAACAAGGCCAGTATACCCCGGTCTATATATTCAACAAAACACAAACCATTCAACTTACATAAACTATTCAACAAGGCCAGTGTACCCCGGTCCATATATTCAACAAAACTTACATAAACCATTCAACAAGGCCATACCCCGGTCTATATATTCAACAAAACTTACATAAACCATTCAACAAGGCCAGTGTGCCCCTTCAACAAGGCCAGTGGTCTATATATTCAACAAAACTTATAAACCATAACAAGGCCATTACCAACAAGGCCAGTGTACCCGGTCTATATATTCAACAAAACTTACATAAACCATTCAACAAGGCCAGTGTACCCCGGTCTATATATTCAACAAAACTTACATAAACTATTCAACAAGGCCAGTATACCCCGGTCTATATATTCAACAAAACTTACATAAACCATTCAACAAGGCCAGTATACCCCGGTCTATATATTCAACAAAATTTACATAAACCATTCAACAAGGCCAGTGTATCCCGGTCTATATATTCAACAAAACTTACATAAACCATTCAACAAGGCCAGTGTATCCCGGTCTATATATTCAACAAAACTTACATAAACCATTCAACAAGGCCAGTGTATCCCGGTCTATATATTCAACAAAACTTACATAAACCATTCAACAAGGCCAGTGTACCCCGGTCCATATATTCAACAAAACTTACATAAACCATTCAACAAGGCCAGTATACCCCGGTCCATATATTCAACAAAACCTACATAAACCATTCAACAAGGCCAGTATACCCCCGGTCCATATATTCAACAAAACTGACATAAACAATTCAACAAGGCCAGTGTATGCCAGTCCATATATTCAATACAACTTACATAAAGAATCCAAAAATACCAGTATCCCCAGGTCCATATATTCAGCAAAACATGCATAAACTATCCACCACCACCAGTGTACCATATCGTGAGCAAAATTTACTATCCAACACTAACAGTACCCTCTAGTCCATTAAACAAAACGCAGACCCAACAAAACCACATACACATATACCTCATAATCCGCCTCACGCCAAAACCTTGATTCAGTTTTCAACCACTATTACACCCATTCGCCTAACTAACATACTCTTCAGTACCATGATACTACGTGACGAACTAACATACTCTTCAGTACCGTGATACTCCGTGACGATTCCAAATACCGAGATATCTATTCACGTATATGTTTCAATTATGACCCTGGTTTCATGGCCTACTGGCGCGAGTCTACCTAATGATACACAGGTTGTGCGTCGGTACCTATCTTCTCTATCCTGTATGTTGGCTATGTCGCAGTGTAACGGGCTGTCCTAATAAGCACTATTTATATGACTTATGAATGAAGAATTGTCAAACCAAGGGAATACATCAGCGCTATATCATTAGACATAACGCAGGTATCATCTCGTTTGAATACTAGCTTCTGCCGTGACGATCAGGTCGCGCGACCGACTCATTGTTTTACTCGGAGCTAGGCGTGTGCTACTGCCTTATATGGCATCGAGCTATCGATTAGTAGGAACCTGTGTTCGTCAACAATAAAGTGGTACCACTGACTGCCACTTTCACTGTCTCCGTTTGGCTTCTCTGATCATCGATTTGTGTCGATCGCTCAGGTGTTGGGGAACGAGCAACACCTCCCAGCGTCTGTACCCTCACAGGTGATAATTAGTCCACCTGTCACATCACCAGCGAAGAAGAAACGGTATTTGACCTATGCCAAACTTTCTCCTGTTTTCTCTTCGACAGGTGAGAGAGAATACTGGTCCCGTGTATGCTGATCGCAGCCTGGGTGTACGATGTAGTCTGCCGCTTCGTATTGTGACACCACCCTTACCATCACCGTGTCACCATGGCGACAGGAACAGCATGCCAGTCAGCTTCATAGGGAATCGGTAACATGATATAATTTACATCATCTGCATAATAAGTGCCTTGACATGCGCACTTGAGCCCTGCCTTATTAATGATAGATTGGCTTAAAGAGAATACCTGCCCGATACGTGGCTGGGATCGGAAGAATTGGCAGCCAGCAAGACCTTAGGAAATACAAGCCAAAAGAGCCCATGTGCATTCCGAACTGACTTCAAACATGGATACCTGTCCTGTCACCTCGCCAGGTGTGGCGACGCGTCGCTGACATACCTGAGCTTCTGTCTATACGAGAACTAAAGTGTTCCTTTTAGCATCATGCCTGGGGCTAGGAGAGGGCTTGTGGCCCCCCAGAACACATTCCTTGAAAACATCATCCGACGATCCAATGGCCAACGTAAGTAACAACATATATACATATACCACTCATAGTTCTACCTGTGTGGTTGTCCTTACCTAGGTGATGAAGGTGTCCGTGTGTTTAATCTGCTTTTTATGATCATGTTTAACGGCTGTCACGAACATTTCATGAGTTTTATTACAGGTATGTCAGGTAATTTTGCCTTTGTTGACTGCGTACCTCAACACGATGGTCATCAGGTCTTCGATCAGGTATTCCACCGCCATCATGGATTTGCCAGCGAACACGACCGTGCTCGCCATCAAAGGCAGTCGATCATTGTTATAGGACACAATGTCATGGAAGCACAGTGGCGACAGTAATGTCGGAAAGTAGAGTGACACTGGAAGACCACCTGGGCTATATTTCATCTGTGTTCTACACAATGTAATACTAGTACTCTTTAACAATCACAACACCGTTTTCGTGTTGAGCGCAAAGTATCAGTAAGGGAGGTTTAATCGTTTAAAAGGCGTATTTCATCTGTGACATATTATCTTAATTTTACACAGTATACAACACAAATGACGAACATACAAATTAATTTCAAAGGAACTGACGTTATCTTTTAAGAAGTGTTGTAATACTTGGAGTGTCAATGTGGGTTCTTTAATCGTTTAAAGGGCGTATTTCATCTGTGCCATATTATTTTAATTTTACACAGTATACAGCAGAAGTGACATAAATACAAATTGATTTCAAAGGAACTGACGTTATTTTTAAGTGTTGTGAAAATTAGACTGGAAATTATATTATTTCGTTTTAATTTTAAACCCTAAATTTAACTGTCACTTATTTTCTTCGAATTGGAAAATCGTTTGGATTTATTTTTAAGTAGATTGTATGGAAACAACACTTACAGTGATTACTCGTCAACAGCCACGGCCTTGTATGTTACACGACACTAGTTTAAAAAAAGTATAAGAATGTCTGACGTTATCTTGTATAAGAAAGTACTAGAATCTGTACTTTATTAAGAAAGTGTAATCCCAAATAAAACATATGTTACATTTGACCACTTTCTAAAATGGCATTGTGTATTTCATAGCTTTCGGCCGTGGGAGCCGTGCCAATTAATACTTATCAGAGGGGTACACAAAGCCCGCAGTCTAGACTACCAGTTGTCCGACTTCCATTCCCGTGGAAACTGCGGTGGCTGAGCGGTCCAGGCGTCTGACTTTGTGTGCTGGCGATTAGGTGCCTGACTCTGAGGGCGTGGGTTCGAATCTCGGATGGGACTCAACCCCAAAAGTACTAGAATCTGTACTTTATTGAGAAAGTGTAATCCCAAATATAACATATGTTACAATGTCTCGAAAGTTTAGAAAGTTTTTTCCAGAACAAAATATTGTCTTTTTTTCTCACAAGAATAATGATAAATATCAGTCTAGAATGTCTGCCCCAATATACCAACCTTCTAATTTGATAGCGTAATGTAAGCATATGTAGGAAAAATGTAACATTTTATATAAACAGATATATGTTTGTTTTCTGTTATCTACTTAATGCTTCAATATTATTCATTCAAGCAGAACCACAGTACAATGTTATCGCAAATGACGATTAAATATATTTAACTGCAAACCTCTGTAAAAACACTTTCATGCGTACACAAAATATTGTGTTCAGTGACGCATAGAAATGACAACATTAAAATTAAATAAGTCATGTAATAGAAATAATTAAACAAAGGTATTCATCATATTCTGTTATTGATTCTCGAAGATGAGACAACAACACTGGTATAGAGATCAATCGGCGCTCAAACCGTGACAGACACAACTTGAAAAGTATGAAATGATGTCGATTTCAGGGCGCACCACGCGCTCCGTGTTTATCGCGCCCCCCGCTAAGCGGCGCCAAACAAAAATAGACACCATTGACACCGTTTGTGTGTAAATAACATCGGTCACAGGTAATGACACTTATATATATGCTGCTAAATGTAATTAGAAACTCATTATCAAGTACAAATGTAACAATGCAATGTAACAACAGTATCCCCACTAAAAAGCAACATATAGGTTCTTCTTTGACGAGGTATGACGCCAAGCGTTACAACGTTGCCGTTTATTACGTGTTTCATGATGGAGAGGTGGCGAGGCGTATGTTGAAAATAATTGGATTAAACTCTTGTATTTTATGTTGTAATTGGTTACAGAGATACTGAAATGTATTCCACCTGGCATAGTTTACCCGATTGGTATCTTGTTTGGCTGATGCATCACGGGTATTTTCAGTGTGTGTGTTCAGACTTTGAAACGCCGCAACACTCTAATAAATGTTGTCTCTGGAATGGTACCAGAGCGTTCTATAGGGTTAAAGGCCCGCAATAGGTACTGAATAATAACCATTGATAAAATATTTCTGTTACTCTGTTCAAAAGTCAAATATTGTTGGTTTAGCACAGCTCATGTGCAGATGTAAACATTTAATGCGGAAAAATATTTCAGATGACTGGACGAGATGACGGTATATTGAAAAGGCCGTTGATAATGTTGCATCCCCCGGGAAAGGGAGTAAAGGAGTGACAGCATGTAATGTCAACCGTCCTCGGCTTCAGCACACATATCCCCAATTCCCCCATATATGAGGGGAGTGTCAGTATGTGTGAAAGATAAGCTCAGGTCAAAGACTTGCCCTGGCGTTGAATTTCTGCCGAAGGGCCAAGATCCAAAATATGCCGTTACACTTCCGATAGGATTCATGATGTGACAAATTATGTTTCTTTTTTTCTCTGAACCTGAATTTTCAATACATATTAACCAGGAACCTTTTAAAATATGTATTAGAATGAAAGGTTCCTATCGTATTTGGTCATAGGGAAACGCGGAGTGTATTCTTGGTGATTCTAGCAATACGACTGTTGTCAAGATAGGTTAAATCCTGCAATAGCTCGCCCCAAGGTATTGTCATATTTACAAGTATCAGAGCCCTATTAATTACTTTACGCACATTGAACACAAACAAATTTAAAGGACGTTTGTTGCTATTTAACAAAAAGACAAATACTTTGTGATAGTTAACAAATAATTAATAGATCCCAATCGATATATTAAAGGAATCAGTTTTATGTATCATGGAAAGATACAAAAATATCCCTATCAAAATTGGTACAATACATGGCTCCATAGCGGAACGTTATTAGCTTAGCCTCAAATCATTTCCTAACCAGGACCAAGACAGAGTCACGATAGAAGCCAACCTTTCTTCCAGAATCTGGCATTGGTCACCTTCCATCTGATGTTGTCTGTATGCTAATCATTGCCTACACATTTTATACAAATTTTCCTGTACGTTTCTTAAACCATCACTGATTTATAGTAACTGTTGTCCAGGTAAATATTTTTGCATTATTTTGCCTATCAGGACCAGTGGAATTTGTTTCGGTCGATAATGGAGTCTGATTGTTCAGTTTAGACCGTTTGCTCGTTATGGTAACGATCTGAGTTCGAATCGCCGCATGGGTACAATTTGCAATGCTTATAATAGACTACTTTCCACATTCACAAGCATGTCTACTAACAGAAGAGTCGATTCCATGAGCACGTGTTTATGAATCAGTATGAAAAGGGGATGATACCAGGTTTTGGCGAAATGAAGAGCAGATCCACCCGTCCTAAACACATGCAAAGGCAAGCCATTGAGTATACAAGTCCAGATAGAGAATTACATCTGACATTAAACACACCATGCAACCCACCATCCTCTCATTGTCTAACTCTCGTAGACCCGGGTTAGAATGCTGATCTTCAACAACCCATGCTTGTCGTAAGAGGCGACTAACGGGATCGGGTGGTCAGGCTCGTTGACTTGGTTGACACATGTCATCGGTTCCCAGTTGCGCAGATCGATGCTCATGTTGTTGATCACTGGATTGTCTCGTCCAGACTCGATTATTTACAGACCGCCGCCATATAGCTGGAATATTGCTGAGTGCGGCATAAAACTAAACTCACTCACTCACTCACTGTAACTCTCATACTCATGAAATACCACGGTCTCAGTCTCACAGTTACCATAAGGATTAACACAAAACGTCTTTTTCTCTTTAAGACTTCACCATAGCTAACCGATTGGTCAGTTCAGGCTTGGACTGTAAATCGAGCAATAACAAAATATATTTAAAATCACTTTAATATATTCATTTTATGTGGATTCATTTTAATGTCAGAGATACGGTTCTGCTTATCTAGGTAAGGTTGACACGTAATAAAAACAATTTTTAAACAGAACTTGATTTGCAATCACAAGCATTAAATAATGGCATTCTTTCGGAAATGTAATATGTTCAAATGCAAGTTGGTTTTCATTTTGTATGAACAAGAAGTCAGAAATAGACCAAATGAATCAAATTAAATTATATCAATTAAAGAACGACAGATGTTTCTGATTAATTTGGTGTTTTTATTGTTTCATGAGAAAAGGACTGAGAAAAATAAGTTTTCAAAACGATGTTCAAGCGGCGTGTACCTTTTTTGTAATTCCAAAGAATGGTTTGATGACACCATGATCAGGCAGATCACAAAAGTGCGATGTAATTATCATTTGAAACGAGTCTGTTCATCTAACCTGACCTTTAACAGAATCAAAGAGTTTATAATTATTTAATGTTTTCAAAGTGGTATCGGGTGTATTGACGTCAGAGCTCTGATGATAAATGGGAAGACACACTCAGATATAAATGTCGGCTAGTGGAGGCAATAGTGTCTCGTTCTACACATCGCACGTTGCAATATATCGGAATGGAATTTATTTTTTTGAGTGTGTCACAGTTGTCATTGTCATTTGTAGCGACACAAGCGACACATTCTTTTTAGAGTTAGCGGAAATTTCCATTGGGGAAAATTCCAGCTATATAATGACAAGATATATTTTAGGCGAGAACCTGTTTCTGTCATCTGGTTCAGCAATATTTGTATCACCAGTTCATTAGTGACACCTTGCATTAAAGTCTGGGAAACTTCTATATAGCATCGTTGCCGTAATTAATATGA